GAACGTGCTCCTCTCCTCCCTCACCCTGTTGAGCTGCTGGAACTGCCCCTCCAGACCTTCCCTGGGGTTATTAATTAGATGTGAGAGCTCAACCTCTGCCTCTGAGCTCTCCTGCTTCCCACGACGTCCCCTGTGTGTCCCAGGTGGGATTCCTGCCCCAGCTCCTGCTTGCCAAGGGAAAGTCCTCAAACTGCTGCCCTGGATGTTGAGGGGGTTGTTTTGCAGCTGCCAAGGATGGTCCCTGCTCTCTCAAGGGCATGGACTACATAAGTTGGTATGGATCACTTATTCCACCAAGAGCTTTTGTGTTCCTTTTTTCTTTTTTTTTGAGCTTTTTCCTCCTTTTTTTTTAAATTTTATATTTTTTTTATTTTTCCTCAGATTTATTTTTTTTTTCAGACAGCCCTGTGGACAGGTAGGAATTCCCTCCTGTGTCCGTGGCAGTGTGAGGAGTCCAGACAACACACTCCAGGGGTTGGATGTTGTACTGACCCCACTCAAGGCATGAGACTTATATTATTTATTCATTTTTTTCTGGGAGAGAGAGTTAATATTTTCCCCGCAGGTATTGAGCCTGATAATCTGGACATGTTTCTTCCAAGCAAGAGAGTTGTTCAGTAGGAGAAATGCTCCAGGTAGGGGTTGAAATGCTCCAGGTAGGGGTTGAAATGCTCCAGGTAGGGGTCGAAATGCTCCAGGTAGGAGTCGAAATGCTCCAGGTAGGAGCTGAAATGCTCCAGGTAGGAGTTGAAATGCTCCAGGTAGGGGTTGAAATGCTCCAGGTAGGGGTTGAAATGCTCCAGGTAGGAGTTGAAATGCTCCTCGTTGAAGAAGGTGGAGAGGGAAAATGTTGTTTCCAGGAGAACTATTTTGAAGTCTGTGAACACAGTTAAATATTGAATTTGCTCAGTATTGGTGCTGCTGTGTGATACCTGGGCTTCTGCATCCTCCAATTAACCCTGAAAACACTGGGACTGATGAAGGAAAAAAGGGAAGAACTGAGAAACTTCCCATCTAACGAGAAGACAACTGAGCTGAGAACAAATAGTTGCTTTAGGGCTGCAGCAGTTTGATCCTGGCATGTTTGAAACCCCTGTTTTATTAGAAAAGCACTGTGGAGAAAGTTTTCTTTTGAAACAATCCTACAAATTTCTCCTCAAAATCCCACCCTGGGTCTGCTTCACATTATCTGATGCCTCTCCAGGGAATTGCTTGGGAGTTGTTTTTTGGGGTTTTTTTTTGCCTTAAAGAAGAGGAGAAACATGTGAATTGTTTCCCCAGAGCTGCAGCCTCTATCTCCAGACGAGAGGGAAGCACATTGTTTTGTGCCTTTGATATGATCCAGCCAGAAAACAGCCTTAGGGGGGGAAAAAAAAAAA